TTGGAATCCTCACCTGAGAGTTTCCACTGCACACTGTGAACTCTTTAGTCTAGCAGACAGAAGCTTTACTCCTGAATCCTGCAGGTCAGAGTTACTCAGGTCAAGCTCTCTCAGACTAGATAACTGGGAGCTGAGAACTGAGGACAGATCTTCACAGATTCTCTCTGAGAAGTTACATCCACTCAGTCTGAAAAATAAAAGACAGTCTATAAAACAAATACTCCTGTAAAGCTTGTTAATACTTTTCACAACATTAAATCTTGTCTTTCAATTTTCATAGGAAACATTAACATACTAAGATACAACATCATATGGATGAACTTAGCTTAAATATTTAATTAATAATTCTAAAAACAAAATGTAATTTGATCTGACCTCAGAGTATTCAGTTTACAGTTTAAACTTTGTAGTCCAGCAGACAGAAGCTTTACTCCTGATTTCCGCAGGTTTTTGATACTTAGGTCCAGCTCTGTCAGTCTCAATGACTGTGAGCTGAGAACTGAGGACAGAGATTCACAGTTTTCCTCTGAGAGTTCACAGATGTTAAGTCTGAAGATAAAAACATGAATAAAGATTATTATTAAACAGTAATCAAGGTGCAATAGCGTATTGTCTTGCGCTGAGCAGGTTAGTAAAACTTTACTTTAACTTAAAAATGATTAAAAATGCTATGAAACAAGGATAACTGGATAAAGTTTACCTTTACTAGTTAAATTGTTGATTATTTTTTTCGGTTTATATAAACAAAAAAGACATCAAACATATAACCAACAGAACTAAACAGTTGAACTAAACTAAACAAGTTGATCTGACCTCAGAATATTCAGTTTGGTGTGTGGACTCTCCAGTGCAGCACACAGAAGCTTTACTGCTGAAGCCTTCAGACTGTTGGTACTCAGGTCCAGCTCTCTCAAACGACAGGACTGGGAGCTGACCACTGGCAACAGAATTTCAATGCCTTTTTCTGACAGGTTACAGCTGCTCAGGCTGAGAGAGAAAGGAAAAAAAGAGAAAAGAAGATCATAGGGAAACCACTACCAACTGAGCTAATAATAATTGTTACTATTTTTTATGTTTTCGGCATTTCTGATTTATTTCCCATGATTTTAAGATTTTTACTGATTATAGGATTTTAAGTGATGAGTTCATGTTTACTTACAGAGCTTTTTTAGAGGCTTTGACCACTGGCAGCATTCTCAGAAGAGCCTCCTCTGAAGCAGAATATTTCTTGAAGTCAAACACATCCAGATCTCCTGATGACAGTAAGATGAAGGTCAGAGCTGAGCACTGAGCAGGAGACAATTTACCTGTGGAGAGACTTCCTGAGCTCCTGCCCTGCTGGATCTCCTCCACTAGAGAATGATCATTCAGTTCGTTCAGACAGTGGAGCAGATTGATGCTTTTCTCTGCAGACAGATTCTCATGGAGCTTTTCCTTGATATACTGGACTGTTTCCTGATTGGTCTGTGAGCTGCTT